TCATTTTATTTTTCCAAAATGATGGGAAAGAAACTTATATAAACTAATAAAACTATAAAGGCATTATTTTTTAAAAAAATCTCATTATCTCGTTATTTTTTTAACTGTATGAAATGAGTGATAAATTAGGTAAAAACAAAATAAAGTATTTGCTTTATATATATATATATATATATTATCAAATTAACAGTAAAAATATGATTATATATAAAACAAGTTACTTTTTTTGCATCATCTAAAATCTTTGTCACATTTTTTTTGTTAATATCTTCAAGGTACAAATCCAAATAATTAGTGGAACATGCTGTCTAATATAAATGTTTTTTCTTTTCCATTAGTTTTTTTCTTGCGACATTAAGTGTTGCATCATTATCAATAACTATTTGAACAATGATTTTTTCTCAATTTCTTCCACAGTTTCATCAATAATATGTAGCAAAAATTTTTATATCTATTACGAACACTTGAAACATCTATAAATTTTCAAAAAATGGTCCCTTTACTATAATAAATAAGAAAATTAATGATATATATTTGATTCAAATTGTTGGTCCAACCATCACACATCAAAGTAACACTCAATTCATTACAATGAACTTTTAATCTATTAACTCATTCATGAATTTATTAATATTCAAACTCTAAATGCACATCTAAAACCTCATAAAGTATTGAAAGTTTTATATGTTAGCCAACTTTTATTGTCATAGAAATCAAATTATGCAATCATGGAGAGTTTGCTAACAAAAAAAAGAAGTTAATCATATATCAAAAATTTTGATACAAATTAACCCATCTTCTTTCTTAATGTCTTTAAAAATGAATAACTTATTTTTTGTTATTTTTAACTCTTACTTCTAATCAATTCAGGTATAACTCTCATTAATGAAAATTTAAACTCATTTGGAGTTGATTTCCTTATTCTTTTTTCAAAATATTCAGCAATTGAGCCATAAGAGCTTCGTCCTTATCATATATGTTACTCCAACCACTAATTCTTTGTCTAAATTCTTATCTTCTGTACCACTTATATTGTGATTAGATATTATCTCGCATGCTTTGTTTAGTAACGATGTCTTCATCAATAAATCTTTCATATTCATCTTCCTTCTTAATTGTGATTAAAATTCATTTTTTCTCCTTTTGTTGTTAACTTTTTTTTTATTTGCTTTCTTGAAAGAGTTTCATCATACTTTCTTTTACTATACTTATTAATAATATAGTTAAAAAAAAGAAAAAAAAATAGTTGTACATGCTTATGTAATTTTATAATTTTTATTGAGAAATTAACAATAATATTTTCAAAAGAATTATAAAAACATAACATAATAGTACATTGGAGCATGGTGCAATATTGCCAAATTTATGAGCAATGTATTTCTTAAAACGTGTTATTTCTCATTTTACAACTTTACTACAAAATTTGCATGAAATATTTCTTTTTGTATTTGGCACAAGTATTCAAAAATAACAACCTATATCATCATTTGGTACGCTTTTTACTCATTTACTCAGAAACTCTTCATGTGGTGGCATGCTTGGTATTTTGTATAAAAACAAAATAAACTTATATTTAGAAATATTAATGTTACTTATTCCATTTATTAAAAATTGATTGAATTTAAATTTTTTAATTTTTAGTTTTTAATCTAAAGAGTAATAGGTCATAAAACGCTAAATTTATTAAGTAATTTAATCTTTTTGATACACTAATTGATATAAATTTTGTTATCACAAATTGCTTTCAATAATTATATAATAAATAAAATCTTCAATAATTACACAAAAATAATAAGAATTAATATAATATCACAAGAAATGACAACAATATAAATACCAAAACAACAAAAAATTATTAAATTTCAAATATAAAATCATAAATTAATAAATAACAAAATCAAAATATAATATTTAATTTGAATTATTTTTCATCAAACTTATAAAAAAATTTATCAAAATTTTCATATAAAATCCTATATATATCATATTAAATTATTAATCCTTTAATTTTTTTAATTATAAATCCTTAATCCCTCTAATTAAATTTTATCTAAAAAAATTTCAAAAATAAAAAAATTTTAAACTTATATTTTAATAAAATTAATTACAAAATTAAATAAAAAACCTACCACCTCATCCCTCCCTACCCTACCTTACCCTCCCCTCTTGTCTCACTCCACCCACATGTCGTCAAATATCCCCAAATTTTGGCTACCTAATGCCTTTTTCAAATTTTCTTTTGTTTTTCTTCTTCATGCCTTAGGTGTCTTCTTTTTCTCTTTTTTTTCTTTGCATCTCTTATTCTCTCTTCTATACTCTCATCACTATCACCTACCTAGTGCCTATAGAGTGCCTCATTCGTCTTTCTCAAATTCTCACAAAGATAGATATTATTTTACAAAAATTTTACAAAAAAAATTAACTTTCTCTTCTTATCTTTTTTGATCTTGATTGTTGATGATGATTGCAAACTTGAGACTGATTTGAATTTGGGTAATTTACGGATTGAGCTAAGGTTGTTGCTGATTAAATGGTTGATAAATGATTTGATACTGTTTTTCTAATTTTTTTAGATTAATTTTGAAACTAAGGCTTTGAGTTTTTTTTTTTGCTTTTGCTTTTATTTTTGTGGTCTTGTTACTTTATTCTAATTATTGGTAATGTTAAATTTTTTTTTATAACTTGGACTAGTGAAAAGGAAAACGAAGATAGCGGTAATAATGGACTGTGATTATCGTTATTTTCCTTTACACCGTTTTCTTGTGGTCGCTACGCACCATTTTGAGTGTGAATGAATTTTTTAACTGTATTTTTTTAATAACAGTGATAGGTGATGATGTTACTGTAATTTTATGGTTGTTATTCTGTTATAGAACCGCTATTTGATTCCTAAGGCTTTATTAAAGAAATGGCACGTTTCTAAAAATAAAGTTTGAATTTTTTTTTTTTTTTAGGTACTTAACTAACGAAAAGATATACAATTTTTTTTTATTTTGTTAAATAAAAAAATTGTCAATTGATTGTCAAAAGATATATAAATTTGCAATTAATTTTTGAATTAATTGATATAGAATTAAAATTGATGTTTAAAAATTATAAATTTTAAAAATTTATAAGTGTAATATTTTAGCCAAATAAATATATAAGCAAAGAATTTTAAAAAAGAGAACAAATTAAATCTTTAAATTCTACTAGAACTTCAAAATCAATTTAAAAAAGTATTGGTAACTCTTAATGGATATTCCATTAGTTTACTTTATTTTTATTTTACTATCTATTAGTAAAACTAGAAAGTAAAAAAATTCAAGAGTTAATTTAATTGGTTAATATATTTACTTTTAAAAGATTACATTTAACCAATTTAATTTTTAAATTTTAATATTTGTAATTTTTTTTAATTTTTAAACTGCAATCTCCTTTATATAAATGAATATCCAAAAAAAAATTTCCAATAATTGTAAAAAAAAACCCATAATTTAAACAGAGAAAAACTGTTCGTTGAAATATTTTGCTAATCATATGTATGCACTGTAATATCAGATTCAATTAATTATTTCTTTTAAAGACCATAAAGTTTCACCTTAATCCCACTTTTAAGATAAAAAAATTTATTTGTAGATTAAAAAAATCTTGTACATCAAAAGTGTTTTTTTTTTCACATGAGGCTTAGCTAAAGGGTTTCTAGAATCCCTCGTTGATTTGTTTGACTCAACAAGTTTCACGTTGAAGATCCAACGAACAAAACATTGTCCTCCTTAAATTTATGACGTAAAGATTTATCCGTTCCAATTTTATTGGATGCCTCTCAGTCCGAGGGGACACTGCCAACTCCATTGGTCTTGCTCATGTCCATCTCATGGCATTTACAAATAAAATAAAATAAAAGCTCAATAAATCCAATAAAAAATTATATACACATGTTTTTTTCTCACATCATTTTTTTTAATTTTATAAAAAATCATTTAATTTTTTTACTTTTAAAAATTTTATCATACAACATTTATATGTATATATGTTTCTTATTTGATCATAATATTATCCTAAATAAAATATAGAAAGAACCCTAGAAGACAGAATTAAGTCAAACCTCTATCCAATGGGGTTTATAATCACATTGAAAGCTGCAGTTTAGTCACTTTAAATATATATTTTTTAGGTTTATTAAATGTTTTTTTCTTAATTAGAGAAGGGTTGTTGGGTTAGGTTGGGAATTCAAGATATATAAAATGAAATTATGAATTGGGTGATGCCTTGAGGGCTACAATACGGTGAAATTTCTGCCTCTGATGAAACTTTCAACCACGATCTTCGAATGGAACAAGAGTTCGGTTGTTTTGAAAATTGCCCATTAGTAAAACAAAAAGAATTGTGCGGTTTCCAAAGTAACAAGAATCGTGTTGAATTTGTTTGATCATGGAAACAGGGCAATCCCTCTAGAAAAAATTAGAAAGAATTCAGGTCCGGTTGGCTCAAGGATTGTCAATGGCTGGACCGAGTTCATCGTAAAAAATTGATATTGAAAATCCCTTCATCCCCCCCCCCCCACCCCCAATTAAAAAATAATAAAACTTAAAGGCACGTGAGGAATCTAACATCGATTAGCAGATGAATAAGTGGGTTCGAAAGCTCACTTTTCCCCACATGGAAATTCGTAAGAGCAGAGTAATGACGCGGAACATGGTTTGAAATTTCTTGGTCCGCCCTTCTATTGAGCTTCAACACTGATTTTCTTGATTTTTTTTTTCTATTACTCTATGGTTTCTATTTTTAATCTTTACCATTCGCGTCACAAAAGGGCAAATGATGAAAGAGGGGGTCCCATTTGGAGAAGTAATTTGAAGGAAGAATTGGTCAGAATTTGGAGTTTGGACACACTCCCACTCTTTACTTCTAAATTATCATATGACCAAAGACTGGTCTATGCTGAAAAACTCGGTTTCTGTCAGTCAAACTTCAAACTTTCTACATTCCCTCAACCTGCCCTTTAAAAGCCCAGACCTTCATTTTCTTTTTCAAAACCAAAAGCTTTCACTCTCCTACTCTCCCTTGGCTTGCTCAAGCTCAACAAAAACAAGTTTCAACAGTTCAACCTTTGGTTACATAATCAACTTTCATTCAGGCCAAGTTCCATGGTTGTTGCTTCTTGCTCTTCACTATTCAGGTTGTTTCAATCCCTTTGGCTGCTTCTGATCGTGTTCCTTAGGGGAAAGCTTTTGCTTCTTGATAACCAAATTTTCCCCGTCTAGCATATTCGGAAGCGGTAGTGTTATGAATTAGCACTTCCAAGTTTCAGACAAGAAATCCCTCTCAATTTCCTGTAAAATCTTACCGTGAGAACTGTAAAAAGAAGAAAAAAATGGAGCCAAGATGGAACGGGGAGCAGGGGACACTGATCAGTGAGCTGATTCAAGGAATGGAATTAGCAAACCAGTTAAGGATGCATTTGGGTGCAGCATGTTCTGTTGAATCCAGGGATTTGTTAGTACAGGAGATTTTGTCTTCCTATGAGAGAGCTCTTCTGATTTTGAAATTGAGTGGGCCAATAGGACAGCCTCAACAGAATGTGGGAACAACATCTGGCGTCCCTGAGTCTCCACTATCCATCAACGGCAGCCCGCGGAGTGATGATTTAGATAACCAGGATGTCCGAGATGTGTCAAAGAAGAGGTGAATTGCAAGCTACAAGTTGCTATATTCGTGTATGTTGTTGCAAATTTATGAGTTAATTTGATGCTAATGATTCGTGGAACATGTTTTTGGAATTGGTTTTGCAGAAAGATGTTGCCTAGATGGACGAATCAGGTGAGAGTTAGTTCTGAAAGCCTGCTGGAGGGACATCAGGATGATGGCTTCAACTGGAGAAAATATGGGCAAAAAGATATCCTCGGAGCCAAATATCCTAGGTGATAAGTCTTTTCTCTTATCCTGCTTGAGTCATCTACTCATCTATTAAGCATACAAAAAGCCTTTTTTTTTATCCTTTTATATCTCTTCACTTCTATTTAGTGATGGAGTGATTGTTTGCTTTTGCAGAAGCTATTACAGATGCACCTACCGTAACACTAAGAACTGCTTGGCTACAAAGCAAGTCCAGAGATCAGATGAAGATCCCTCCATCTTTGAGGTTACTTACAGAGGAACTCACACATGTGCCCATGGCAACCAGGCAGTTCCACCACCAGCATCACCCGAAAAACAAGAACATAAACCATACAACCTTGATAATAACAACCAACATTTTCAATCACAAGATATCCTCTTAACTATTCGAAAAGGCCTAATGGTCAATACTGAGGGCTTAGACAATAAAGAGATGGCACCATCCTTCTCTTTTCCTTCAGCATCATTTGGGTGCCTTAAGAGCCAAAACTATTGTTTTTCACCTTCAGGAGTGCTTGAGAACAACGATATATTAGGCAGCTTCTCTTCCCCTTTCATGTCTTCTGCTACACCTGAATTTAACTACTTTTCAGCTTCTCATTCTCAGATGAACAACTTCGGAGGGATTCTTAATACACAACATTCTGAATCTGATCCCACGGAGTTGATTTCAGCCAAAACTTCAGCCACCAATTCTCCAATTATGGACTTGGATTTCTCACTTGATCAAGTAGAGTTGGATCCAAATTTCCCTTTCGACACCCCGGGATTTTTCTCCTAATTCTTTTTCACAATCCAAATAAGAGTAATGCTAGATGTTAAATTCCCGTTCCACTTAGCGGATTAGCTGGTTGAATCTGTTCATCCTAGCTTTGTGTTACGCCAAGAGCTTTTGTAGAATAGATAAGTCTCTTTCAATTTAATGTTGGTTGCAATAAATATCCTTGGATAACAAGTTTTGACATTTGTTCTAATCGCAGTTGCAATAATATTAGTACGTAGATTATTACCAAAACGAATAATGTTGCATATAGAAACCTTCTGGTGAAACACATAAATAATGCAAATGTCCTTCAACACTTGCTGCAACTTCATTGCAATTTGCAAATAAGTGTTAAGCAATGGCCATTTAAAAAAAAAATTGTTCACAACATCGTATTGTGTAAATGTAACAAATCCCGGATTCGAGAAGAGAAAAATCTATATATACAGGGGAAAAAGAATTTACATTGCAATGATCCCTTTAGTAGACACAACATTGCTTGTCTTGACGCTTAACGGATGGAATAGAAACACAAATAAAACCCAGTAGTGGTGCCTAAAAGAGATATTTATAAAATGAGGACAAGGTGAAACCTCTGTAGCATCAATAATTCTAGATTGGAAACTTACAACTAAGAGCTTTTCTCAACCCCAAGACAATGAACAAGTTGGTTAAAGTGAGAAGTGATTCATCCCCTCCACGTAACTATCCACGTTAAACGAGGAAGTACCATAACCTTTGCTGCTTCAACTGCATGGATAGAGTCACAATTTGGCATTCATGTGTAAAAATCAATGTGTCAAAGTAATTCTTGTTTATTGATGAGAACTTACCATATATTCCAGCTGGGACTGCTTATTAAACATGAAGTCAAAAAGACCAATATAAAGGAAATTAGTAGAGATGAAACAAAGCCACCAATAGCGAAATCAAATTGCAGAAGAAAAGCATCCAAAGTAAGAAAATTTGTACAACACTAAATTGAATGAAGCCACATTTTGTACCTACTCTCATTTCTTTTCTGCTTGCTTTGGGCTTAATTGTGTACTTCATGCTGCCCATCTCTACTGATAAAGTAGCCAAGGAACTGGATAATATTGGCATGGATTAAATATGCTTAAAGCTTGGAAAAATGAAGCAAAAACAAAAATGAATAGCAGCTTAAAAAGATAAATCTATGAGAAGAGCTACTCCAATGATTCGTGCTGATAAAACATGAATAGTATTTCATAGTATTCTCCAGCCTCACAACTAAGAAGAAATCACATGGTAGAATATATAGATGGCTTAAATTGGAAACAAGCAGCTGATGCCTGCCCCCGGTTTTTAAATAAGCAAAAGCAAACACCAAATTTTCTACCATTCTAACAGAAATGTTACAGCTTGCTTATGCCTCAGTCACATTATTCATCTCTGCCCTAAGCTGTGAAAAGCCATCAATTCAGAGTCTCAAAATGTAGTATATAATTATCCTAAAAATAAAAGGTAGCATGAACATATTAAATTCAAATATCTAACATGTCAATTATACAATCTGATAAAACCAGGAGATATATGCTAAAAGGATGGTATCTCAACATTGATGGCTTTATCAACAAAGTGGGTTTCTTGTAAAATCATCAACAAAAGGCAACTAATAATCTTATCACTTCGTCTACATCCTGCTAATATGAGTAATTTTATCCTACTTTTTGCCCAAAAGCTAATTTCTTTATTTCATGGCAAAGAGGATCGATCCCTTACTCACAAGTCAAAATTCACCTCATTTCTGAAGTTTAGAACAAAAGATAGAGCACAAAGTAACCTCATAGTAGCAGTTATTACAATTAAAGGATCTGAGAAAGAATTACATATATCCCAGAAAACTCACTGGTGGCACACACTAAGGCAAGCAAGAAGTGGAAGCCAAAAAGGATAAGCTTTGGAGAAGACTTGGACTTGGTGATAAAGTACAAGAACCAAATGTATGGGAACAAAAAAACTGCAAAAAGCTGTGAAGCAATGTTTTCTGAGTCAATGTTTGGTGCCCATGGATCCATAGGCAGTAACCACCCACGTAAAATTCCTCCTTTCCTCTAAACAACTTTTCCATCTCTGTAACTGCTGAAATCTCCGCTTGATTTACTTGGGATGCTTGGTGATTGTGAAAAAAAAAAAAAAAAGAACACGGACATGTTACAGTGACAAGATAATTGGGTAGTTTAGACAAAGATTCTACACAACTGAAATTCATCTTTAGTTCTAATTTCTTGCTTTGGAGTTCGGACTTTGGGTTTGAGAACACTGTCGAAAAGAGAAAGGGGTAAATATAAAAAAATAGCTTATCTATTATGTATTTTTTGTCAATTTAATATTTAAAAAATTACAATTTTACTTTAATTTATCATCTGTTTTGATATTTCAAATTAGTTGTATTAATCAATTTATTAACATGACATGAAAAATTAATATAATATTGATGTGTTAAAAATTTAATCAAAATCATATTAGCAATTATCACGTTAATATTAATAAAAAAATTTTAATTATCTTTTTAACATATGAAATATTTTTAAAAATTATAAAAAAATTGAAAAATATGAAATATTTTTTAAAATTATAAATATTAAAAAAATTTATTAAAACTTAAAAAATTCAAAAAAATTCTTAAATAGTTCAAAAAAATGAAAATTTTAATAAAAAAAAAAGTTCTTAAAATAAAAAAAAAAACTTACAAATTTAAAGTAAAAAAACTTCATTTAAACAAATTGAAAATTAAAAAAATCTAAAATTTTTTAAAAAACCTTAAAATTTTATTAAAAAAATTCTTAAAATTTTTTACAAATTTAAAAAAAAAATTAAAAAATTGTTTAAAAAATTAAAAATTTTCAAAAAAATGAAATATGCAAAAACTAAAAAAATTTTGAACAATAAAAATAATAAAAAATAAAATTTTATTAAAAATCCAATAATATTCAAAAAAATCTAAAAAATTCATAAATATATAAAAATTTAAAATTGTAGCAGTAAAAAAATGAAAATTTTTCATAAAATTTAAAATATTTTTACAATTTTGTAAAAATTTTTAGATTTTTTCAAAATTTTTTAGATTTTTGTTATTTTCAATTTTTTAGTTTTGTGATTTTTTTTGTATTTTAAGAAAATTTTATTTTTTTAATTTTAATTTTTTGAAAAATTTTGGATTTTTATTAAAATTTTTATATTTTTAAAAATTTTTAAGTTTTCATAATTTTTTTAAAAATTTTAAATTTTTAAATATTTTAATTTTTAAAACATTTAAGATTTTTTTAATTTTTTTGAATTTTTGTGAATCTTTTAAATTTTTTTAATATTGATGTGACAATTGATATTGTGGTGCTAATTAAACTTTTTGATACTTGTCAAAATCTTATTAAATATTTATGTCATATTAACAAGTTGATTGATGATATTAATTTTATATATCAAAATAGATGACGAAATAAAAATTAAAATATCAACTTAAAAATTTTATTTTTTTAGATACCAAACTTAAAATATATATATATATATAATATAGAGACTTTTTTATATTTAACCCATAGAAAAGTTTGATATATTAGATTTTGGATTTTAAATTCTTAATCTCCCATAAATCAGGCCCATTTATTTATGAGCTGGGCATATTGAACTGGGCGAGGCCTCTCTATAGGTATAGCCGCAAGGAAATAAAGAATATATATATTTTTGGATTTTTGTGGGAGGTTGTGGGACTTCAGTTGCTGCTATTATATTAGCTAGCTTAGTTGCTAATGTTAACGGATTGAGCCCTTCCCATCTGCTAATTGTTTCCTCAAAGGATAATATAATTTTATTCTGCTTTGTCGCTTAAACGAATGAACTTGGCACGGACTTCTCAACATTCAAATAACAACAAGAATAGAAATGGGAGAGGCCATGGAAGTCCAAACAAGCGAACAAGTGGTTGAAGCAAACCAACATTTATTAGCGAGGGATGGTGACTGAAGCCAAGATTCAGACAGCAAATCTTACCAGAAAGTACCTGACCGTTTGTCCGAAGGAAAATTTTTAAATTTTATAATAATTCATAAAGATTTTAATATTTTTCACTTAAGTTCCTATATATATATTCATATATATATATATATATATGAATGTACCATTTGATAGCAATATTTTAATGTATTTACCACAGTCTTGTATATGTTTTCTATTTCGAGGCAAAACAATATATCAAGAGTCATAATCCGCTAACAAATTAAGAGGCAATAACCTGGTGACAATTAGGAATTAAAACCAATATATCACTAGCTCGTAACAATTATTGCCATTTGTTGTATTTGCCATTTACTTAATTATATACACTACAACCGTTTTTTACTAGTACCAAATCAAATCCAAGTGATGGCTTGATCACGATGTCATCACTAATTGAGAAATACAGCTCACAGTCGCCTTCCACATTTGACGCTATCATCTAATATTTTCTTCATGTCGTATTTATACTAAAGACACATCTTCACCAATTTGCTGGAGTCACATGCAATGCCTTTCTTTACTTCCCCCAAGAACTTGTGCATTGAATCAATCAAATAATATATGTACTATAATTATTTATATATGCATATATATAGAGTGAGAGAGAACCATATTTCTATAAAATTTTTTCCTGATTCCTAAGAATTATAAATAGAATTTGGGTGTTAAGATTTTATTTATTTATTATGTACTCTTCTGTTGTGTCATAGTGTGGATAATTTTCTCGAAAATACTTTGCAATTTCTCTGATGGTCGGATTAGCTGCTGCACAAAGGAATCTGCCTCTCAAGGATGGTTTCTCCAAGCAAATGATATGTGCATCGCAAATATCATTGATGTGTACAAGTGGAACTGATCCACGAATTTCTAGCATAAGTCTCAATCCCTCCACAGAAAACAATTTCCCTGTTAGGCGTGCTAAAGTTACTTCCACACTTAAGGGCACGTAGGAAAGAAGAGTCTCTTTTGCTTACGACTTCTAACTTGCCATTATTTTTTTAGTTGTAGCTCAATGCCTCTTTCTCTGCTAACGTTTTTGATCTTGTGTATGCCTAATTAAGAGCAATAGTTGCAGCCAAGAAAGAAAGAAAAGAGAATTTCAAACTCGTAAAATGAATTAATCTGAGACATTACTTATTGATATATATCAGAAAATTCAAAGAGAAGAAACAAATTATATAT